GGTCGATAGGAATAGTTGTGCTTGTAAAAAAGAACAGGTTACCTGCTGAAGAGACATCAAATGATTGGTATCCTTGTACTGAGAGCTCAATACGTCATCGTAACTTAAATTAGTGCCAGAAGGAGCAGCAGCGGGGTTGATTGGGAAGTTCCCCGGGATAGCAGTTGTATTTCCGAAAGCACCATATCCAGAAGGAATACTGGCAGACTGCGGCAAACTGTCGACAGAAGCACTATTCTTATATTGGGGGAGCATTGCCGCAAGCGACTGATGATAAGTGCTGTTACCAGGAAATGCTTGTTGGAATGCAGACGGCATATATGGATAGTTCTGATGCATAAAGGGATAACTAATCATGTTGGCAAATGGTCCTAGTGGAACAGTTGGTTGAGCATATGGGTGTACAGTTAGATGTTGCGGTACGGCAGGTCCGGCGGGGACGCTAGTTCCAGAAAGCATCTGCTGCTGAGTAGGCTGTGCTGATAAAAAACCAACTGTCTTCAAAGCCTGCGGAAACACAACACAATCAACTATGACGCACCAATGAAACAAGAGCAAAGGGAGAAAAAATTGGATGGATAATCGAAGTATACTGTGAAATATCTATTGGATACAGGCAGACACATTACCTCAGGCATGGAAATTGTTGCGCCACTGATTGATGAAACTGAGTTGCCATATTTTGTTGGCATTGCTTGTGTTGTTGGATAAGGTGAATAAGAAAGCTCCGACTCTCGACCAGGATGAACGTTACCAGCCAACAAGGTACTCTGTAAAGAATTTGTGTAGACCTACTCGAATAAATTAGTAAGAGAGAAAATTAGGTAGAGCAACAGATACTATTCTACGGCAGATAAAATGGTAACTCAGATCTCATTAACATGCTCCTCTAGTAATTTTTTGATAAATGACGTGCTTCTTTACTGCTCTGTTGGGGGCATTGCAGATATTCCGCTACTTGGAACATTTTTCTTTAATAAAATATTTATCCATCAAAGTGCACCAAACACTATACACCTTCACAAAAGTTAACAAATAATCTGGCTACTTGGGATTCGTAATCACTGAGGGCCAAGACTCGAGAGAATTAATGCTATTATATGTTAGAATATATATTAGTTAAAAGCTAGCAAACACCAAACTTACATTAAGCACTTGAAATACAAATTAAAGAGAATGAAACACTGCTGATATTATGTGTCTCCCCATCACAAAGGAGCCACAAATATGAGCGACTTTACACAGCAAAGAAGACTTACAAGGACTAAAGTACTTTTCTTTTCCACCAAAACGCCAAAAAAGTAAAGAGTAAAGGCTGAGTAAGTTTATGTGACAAGATCAGACCCAGACCTCAGTTCATTACTTGAATTTTATAATATTACAAAGTTAAACTTCAAAATAAGTAAGATGGTGACTCACGCCCTAGGGTGTGGCCTAGTGGGTTGAGAACGTGAGGTCTCAGGCTCAAATCCCAACAGAGGCAGAAACACTAGGTGATTTCTTCTCATCTGCCTTGGTGGATAGAGTTACCTAGTACCCGTTGCTTGCTGGTGAGAGGTAGAAGGTATACAATGAAATTAGTCGAAGAGCCCGCAAGCTGGCCCGGACACCACGGTTATCAAAAAAAATTAAGTAAGCCGGTGACTCCTTATCAAAGCAGTTATCCAGAGACATGCAGAAGTTTTTTTCCTTAAATGTACAATACACCTCAATGCATTATTTTCATATTTTCAGGTAAAAGGATCACACCAGAGTGCAAGAGAAGTATGCATATGATTTCAACGGTTTAAGTCTTTACTTCCAACATAGAACATGTATACCAAAGCTCTCAAGGGTAACGGAACACCTAACCAGAGAGGTCACAGAACCATGCAAAACTTTTCGTTATACATGCATCTCTCCACTAGAAAAGAAAGTTTAACAGCCAGATAAGTCTATTCCATTCTTTCAAAACTCTTAAAATATCATCCAATGAGTAAAAAGGCAGATTGCAGAATACAAAGCTAACTAAGCTCCACATCAAAATGCCGCTTGTAACTCAAATATTAACAAAATAGCAACTGCCAATTTTGCAACTCCTGATGCAGCAATTCCTTTCCTCAACGCCACTCATAACTAAATATCTAACACAATTGCAATTCCTTGCCTCACTCGCCGAATACACTTAAACTAAAGTCATCTTCAAACTTGGAAGTTTTAATATTTGGAATTTTTTTTGCAAACAACAGGAAATGTATCCCAAGGAGAGAACAGGAAACCATTTTACATCCTGAACAAAAGGCAGAAAAGGTTTTCTTACTCACATTTGAAAAAGGAGCAAGACTCTGCATATGAGAACTTGTCTGTGGCTGGCTAAATGCTGCATTCAATTTTTGAGCACTTTCGTATGAATAGCTAGCAGCAGAGGACGGATAGGAGTATTGATGCCCATGCTCACTAGTTTCTGCTTTCAGAGATTCTGGTTGTGCAGCAGATGGCAAATCGTAGTTTCCAGAACTTGCATTAGTTCTATGGAATAAATTACTATCAGACTCATTTCTGAGAGTTTCATCACCATAGTATTCAGAAGCCCTGCAAAATAATGTAATTTAAAAATTAAAGAACTAGCCTTTCCCTATGCTTTGCACAGATCTCTCTTGTTTTGTACATCTATACACAGGAAAAATATCTTTTTTTACTAAAGCAATATCACTTTCAAATATTGATAAAGAGAGCGTTGTGTATAAATTTTAGATGGAAAAACATACTAAATCATCATTTTAGTAGAAACAAAGATGTGATCGATTTAACAGATTTACAAACCTGGTGCCCAAGTGCCCAACTGAAGAACTATCCGCATCCTTTGGTGCTTCTTCCAAGCTAGTTTTCGCAGGGGCAGAGGCATGTGATCCAGAAAAGGACACACCACCAAAGCTACCAAAACTTAGGTGTGAGCAGTCCGCTGTTTGAACTTGAAGATGGTCTGGAATCAAAACGGATGGACCATCTCCATCAGATGGAAAACCCCGATCGTCCTCTATACTTAGTTGTTGCAAGTTCGTAGCGACTGAAGAAGCTAAGGCGTTAACATCTTCAACTGCCACAAGATAAAGAACATTCTTATATAAAAAAGAGCAGTACATTAAAATATTTGAATGGCACAACTACTGTTGTACCAACAATCTAAAACAATTAGGTTTCTGATATGCTACATATCCATCGGTAGTAGATAAGACAAACAGACTGTCGCAATGTTAGCATTAGATAAAGATGGCAGTAAAGTAGTACATTAAAGGGCCGTTTGGCTGGGAGTTTAAGACATATAATCTCCACATATAATTCAACATAAGTTTATACATTGTTCGGTTGGGATTTGAGGAGATTTTGATCTCCAAATAGATATCAGTAATATTAATTAATACAATGTGTCCTTTTTGTTTTTTCATAAATAATACCTGCAAAAGTTATGCGGGCATCTATGTATTATTTTGTGCGGGATAGAATGAGGAATAAGATTGCGGGTATTAGTAATACATGGATTAAAATGCTAAAATGATCAAACTAACCCTCATAATAGTAAGAAATTTTTAATTTTGTTTACAAAGTAACAAATATTTTAGAGCATACACTGTACACTAATATGTAATATATCAACCCAAACATTCAACAAGAAATAATCCACAATCCCTATATTACTATTCCTTCCAAAACAATACATACATTACAATTGATGCGTACAATTCCTGCATAACTTGTTTCTGAACCAAACAACCCCCAAGTCTGCAGACCGTTAAGATGAACATCCATCACTTTCTACTAATTCTATCTTCCAATTTACGCAGATAAACAGATCTACATCTAACGATGCTAAAACACCAACCAATTCCACTTCAATTAAACTAAAACAATGAGATTAATATGTTAAATGATGAAATGCATATCTCATGCCAAACCAAAACACACATATATTCACCTTGTTGATGCTCAAAAGTGTGATTCTGGTGTTGATATTGGTAGAGGTCATTGTCATCGAGAGAAGCACTATCAGCATTATCCTCCTGCAACTTTCTACTGGAGAGAGAACTACCGAGATCTTCATTAGCACTGTCATCTCCCCCTTGTGCCTCGTCAATTTCAGTTTGACGATCAATTCTGTCAAATGACACGTCAGATGGATCAGGATGTTGCACGAAATCAGTGGGAGGCTCCAAGACAGCAGGCTGGCTCGCAGCTGATGGCTGCTCAATTAACGGCCATTCATCGTTCGCAGATAGCAGCTGAGATGAATAATCCCCTGGTTCCTGATGTACCTCGTGAACCTTCATATGATCATCAGAAAACTGCACATTATGATGTGATGCACCATAAGGAGGTGGTGCCCGAACATCGTTTTGGTTGACACCAATAGTAGTACGGTGAGATACGTTAGGTAAACTTGGCACTTTACTCTGTGGCCTACCCATTTTCACAATATCAGCCATTGATACTTGACCTGGCACCCCACCCCAAGTAGGTTGATATTCAGAAGAAAGCTGTGAAGCAGCTGAATGACCATCAACTGCCGCTGGTGTCAATTTTTTACTTTCATTTCCAGCAGCATCACTGTAACACAATTCAAAAGCATAAAAAGGAAAATCAAAAACTAGCCAAACATCCCCAAAAATAGTTTGAACAACTTAACATGCATGGTTAAAAGGATAGATTACAAGAAATAATTTTCTTATGAGTATATTCAACTTGATAATTTGATTCAGCAATTAAAGATTATTACCACTAATTAAATCTGGTTGTTCAAAAATAGCTTTATTATGATAAGAACTTCTCGTTAGTGCAAAAGAGACATTGACAAACTTAATGGACCATGCTGCAGGGATCGATGGATTAATACACTGTTACACCGACAGTATCTGAAAGCAACTGATCATCTTGTGAAAAATCTAAACCTTTTAACAAGACAACAATACTAACCTGACGGCGGTTGGTCTCCTATCTATGTTACTTCCTACAACTCCAGGGGTTGAAGAGAAGTTGTTTGTATGTGATCCACTTTCCTTTCTGTAAGCAGGAGCAGGCTTGGTAGACTCTGTCAAAGTTGGTTACAAAGCAAAATGATCCAGTATCAGACAACACAACAAATTAAACACAATTTAAACTTAATCCATCCAAATGGTCGACCTTGCCATCAAGTTGGGTCACTTGATCCTTAGACAGGAAATTAACAAACGAGAAATCTAGTAAGCAATTTCTCTTTCAGAAACTGTGCATTAACATGCATATACCTGACCCGCCACGCCCAACATATCGTTCCGCACCAGTCCTGCTGCCACGGCTTGACGTGCTACTAGAAACCCAGGACCTAGACTCAGTTGTATCCTTATTCTGAACCAAAGATGAACAGAAGTAAAGTGACAGATATGAACAGCTATTTGAGCAAGCAACATAACAACCCATTAAAAGCACTTTTTCAAGGTCAGTTATAAGCAAGCTACGCTTCAAAAAAATATTGCTACGTATCAAATGGGATGTGTAATGTCGTGCCCCCAAGATTATACCAGCATATATCAAATAAAAGGAAAAGTTAGAACATCAACAATATAGAAAGCAGGACTCTAACGATATAAAAGTTTAAAGAATTCAAGAAATAAATTGGTTTGGAGTTTATGCTTTAGTAATGATTACAAACCTCTTTTCTCTTTTCTCGTTTGCTCTTCACCTCATGAAAAGTATCTAGCCAATTAATAAACATCAAATTAGAAGGTGATAAGAAATATCAACTTATTCAAGCAAGGAAGATTGACAAAATAGTAACACAGTTTTTAGCATGATAACTACAAAGATGTGAGTTTAAGTAACTATTACCGAGCATAGGAAGAACATGACTAGCAACAGAATTACAGAAGTTCAAATTTTCTGCAGCTTAGGTATTGCAATAGTGCTGAAATCACCAGAAGAATCAATCTAATGCGTTTTCAGCGCCCAACACTTGATTCTTGCTCAATCTCAAAGGCAGCCTATGTTATCTCAAGATAAGTTCTAAATTATGTTCAAGTACGGCATTTATAAATAGTATCAGAATGCAACCTCTCATCTGACTGACGCGTACAAATTTGTAATGGCTCACAAATCACTGATTTAGCTCCTACACTAATTAACAATAAGATTGGAAATCCACAAATACCTCAGAAAATACAAGTGAAAAGGTAGCCGTCTAACCGGTCTGTAAAACATAAGGACGAGTCAAGGATCGTGCCGAACATAATTTACACCGAAAGTTCTTCTGAGATTTTTTCAATATGCACGCCATCAAATCAAATCTTTTTTTTTCTATAGCTGTGGTGTCCGGGCTAACTTGCACGCATCTCGACTAATTCCACGGGGTACCTGCTACCTCCCACCTATAGGTAGCGGGTAACTCTGTCCACCAAGGCTTGGGCTACCATAAAATCAAATCTTGTATTGACCAAATTGATATTTCTCCATAATAAAAATTATGGAGCATTACAAATACAGAAACTTCACGGATATACAAGAATCCATTATATTAATTTTTCTTTCTTAGACAAAAGCTTGACTACAAAGAACATTAAACTCAGGACACAGGACACCACAAATGAATCAAACAAAGATAGAAATTTCCAAAGCATAAAAAGAGAAATAATTTATTCTTCTTTTCTTTATCCACTTACTCTTACGACCCCATACCTACCTGTGTGTATGTATTTCAAACAAAGCATATATTTTTAACATAATTGCTACTACAATTCTCAAAGAAAACTGGAAAAGAAAAGCGGTTACTTTAGTATATAATCTGAAAACTGTAAAATTGCATGCACACAAAACTAAAAACCCAAAATATCCCTAATACCCAGAAATTAATTACAAAAGAAGAAAATAAAGAGCTTAGGTACTATATATATGTTTAACATAATTGTTACTATAATATTCAAGAAAAGAAGTTTCTTTACTGTATAATCTGAAAACCGAAAAAATGCATGAACACAATACTAAAGAACCAAAAAATACTCAAATACCCATAAAATTAATTACAAAAAAAAAATACTAAAAAGAGTTTAGTTTTAACCTTGAGAAAGAAGCTTATTGACGGCTTCGTTAGGGTCCATATTACAATCTTTGAGCACAGCATAGATCTCAGCTTCAGTACAGAAATTAACAATTTCCTTTAAACTTTGTACCATCTTTTTTGAACCTCCTGGTATTATTGATTCTACTCCAATTCCTCCTCCATTTTTACTACTACTGTTTTTTCCTCTGCTACTACTCATCCTCCTTTACTCTCTTTCTCTCTCTATGTAAAACAGTAAACAGAAAAACAGAGAAGTGTATTCTACTCCAGTAGATCTATTTCAATTGGAAATACAATCAATTTTGCAGTTGAATTTTGAATTGACGGCTTCGGTTATGGCTTTTTTTTCTTCTAGTGGTGAAAGGTGAAAAGAATCCGCGGCGAAGAGGAGATATCTAATGAGAGGAAGTTTTGATTTTATTTCTGTTTTTTGTTTTTTGTTTTTTGTTTTTTTTTGGGGTGAAAAACCCCTATTAAATTGCTTTTCTCTCTTTAATAATAAGAGTATAGTTAATATAAGAGGACAAAAAACAAAATTATCCGATAGATCGAAATAATTTCGCTAATCAAAAGCATATAAAATATTTATATTTTATGTCTATAATATTTATATTTATATATAAAAATTATATATATATATATATATAT